ATGATAATAATGTTAACAAAAGCTTGTCATGCGAAGTAGACCAAACAAATTTCAAGGAATGTGATTTTAAAGAAGAAGAAAAACGAGAAATTCAGAATTATCACCACATGAATTATACAAAATGTTCAAAAATCAAGAATTATCACCTCATGAAATATACAAATATTTTAAAATAACTTAAAACAGAAGATATATTTTCAATTTCCTAAAACATTAAAATATTGTTGCAAACGCGTTTATAAAGAAGAATATTTACAAAATGGATTTGTCTACAGCAAAAGTGAAGACGCAGTCTGCTGCATATACTGCACTTTATTTCTAAAGCAGGATAAAAAAAAATCTTTGGGAGCTTTTGTTAACCGTGGATATAAGAGATGGCTTAATGTTTTAGAGAAACAAAAACTAAATATAGGCAATAGATATCATAAAGAAGCCTTCGAACAAGCTAATGTTGTTGTTTTGATGATCCAAGACAAACCATTCCATTACAAAGCGATAGCACTTTAAAAAACCGACAACAAATGAACCCGTGCATTGTTGAAACATTAGGTAGAATAGTACATTTGATGGGGAAACAAAGACTTGCATTTCGTGGAACCAAAAAGATAGTCCTGAAAACTTTCTTGCAATTGTGCAAGAAACAGCTACCTTGGCCCCAAGAGTCAAAATGAATTAATTGATATAATTGGAAAGAAATGTATACAAGAGCGGCTTATTAATAAAATCAAAGCTGCAAATACCCTTCAATTTCAGCAGACGAGGTAACAACTGCAAACCAACAAATTCTATTAGTATGTATGAGATACGTAAACGGAGAAAAAGAAATTAGAGAAGTACTTCTTGACTTTCTGAATCTTGACAAGATAACAGGCAAACATATTGGGGAAAGCTTGATGAAACTTTAAAGCGAAAGTATAATTGATCTTAGTTCTTGTAGAGGCAAGTGTTAAGATGGTGCACCAAATATGCAATCTGTAAAAAAAGGTGTTGCCAGCTATATTTTAAAAGGATCATCAAAAGCAATTGTAACTCATTATAGCTCAAATAATTTAAATTTATCAATTGTTGCAACATCAAAACTACAAATCATTGATAACATTTTAGAGGTATGCAGAAATATATCTATTTATTTCAATACTTCTCCGAAAGGAGAGCTGGAGCATGTTGCAGAATCCGTTGCAAATCAACTGAAAGAAAAAAGATTTTGATAATTGGTATTATAACTTTGTACCGCTTACTTCACCCGTTGTCGTGTACAACAGAGAGGTTACAAGGGCTCACAACTGATATTGTGTATGTATACAGTAATATTCAAGAAACAATCAACGATTTAAACCGTCTACAAAAAAATGTTGAAAAAGAAACTTACGTAATTTACCAGCAAGCTACTCGTATGGCAAGTAAATTATTTGTAGAACCAACGATTCCCAGAATCAAAATGAGACAGGCTTACAGAAAAAACGTATCTGCAGAGAATCCCCATAAAGATTATAAACGGGCTTTGATTATACTTTTTCTCAACACCATCATTTCAGAAATCAAAATACGATTCCAAAAGACATATTGGATTCGTGCTAAGATTTTATGCTTGGTTCCCTCGATAATTTGCAGTGAGGAGATAACTGCTTTCCAGGAGTTAGTTGAAATGTATAAAAGCGATCTTCCAAACTCAGAATCTGTAGATTAAGAATTCATATTTTGGAAATCAAAATGGTCTGTTATTAAACCTGAAGATAGGCGTAATACTCTAGCTAAAGTCCTTAAAATCTGCGATGAAAATCAATATCCTAATCTTTTTGAGCTTTTTGCTTCTAAAGATCGGTTGTACACTACCCGTAACGTCAGCAGAATGTGAACGCAGCTTTTCAGCAATGCTAAGATTAAAAACATGGTTGAGAGCCAGTGTGACTGCAGATAGACTTGGTTCATTAGCTATTTTGAATATCCACTACAAGGAAATTGTTGATTATAAACAAGTCTCAAAATTTATTTTTACTTTACATTAGGGGTGGTAGATTAATCGGTATTTTACATTAATCGATTAACGATTAAATTTCGAAAAATTACTCGATTAATCGATTAATTTTCGATTAATTTTAGGAAAAATGTGTTTATAACTTAATAAAAAGTAATTTATATTTTTTATGATTTTATTTCTCTTTTCGTCAGATATGATCTTAAAAAACATAAATTATTAACAGTGTCATCATTTAAGCTAGTTCTTAAATTAGTATCAAATAAACCAGCTGCACTAAAACTTCATTCTGCTTCTATAGAAGACGGGGGAAGACTTAGCATGGCATTATAAATCTTTTCTAAAGAACTTAGCCTGTTTCGAGTGCTTTTGAGTACTGCAATTTCACGTCAAAACATTTTGAGGGGAAGACTGACAAGTTAGCCCTTTAGTTTTTCCTGCTGCTGAAGTTGTATTAGATATTATTTCTGCTAATTCTTCAGCTTTAGTTTTTTTCTTAATGGTTTTGTATTACAAGTAGACTCTAAATCAGACTCATATGCTGCTTTTACTTCCTCGTGTAGAAATAAACGTAGGTATATTTCTCTAGCAGTTTTAGAAATTTTATTTTTATATAGGTATTTCAAAAGATTATCTGGAAATTCTGAGTCTGATTTATAGTCAGCTGGGTTATTTAAAAAGCACAGTAAACCAGCAATATTACAATTTCTTCTTTCGACAATTCTCTCCGAGACAACAGTAAATAAGTTTTGACCAATGTTAGTATTTTGTTCTTTAAGGTTTTGTAGTTAAAACAAAATAATTTTATCAGATTTTATCAGATCACAGTTTCTTTTTCCTAGTTCCATAACACTTAACTCTACAACATGTAGAGCCTGAACAATATCAGAAATGTGTTTTATTTCTTCTTCTTTTAAAATTAAATCTGTTCTAGATATATCAGCAAAAGCATTTGCAATAACATTTTTTAACTTTAAGAATCGTTTTAACATACTTATTAGAGAATTCCATCTTGTTTTAGTATCCAAAATAGGCTTAAGATATTTTCCTAAATCTGTTCTACAAATATTTTGAAGGGAATCGTTTTTAAGTGGAGATTTTCTAAAAAGTTTGACTAATTTACGAACCTTCGATATAATAATGCCATAGTCCTCATTAAACTGGATTTCCTATGAAACAGAGCTAATACTTTCCTCATTCTAGCATTCTTCAGTGTCGTTTTTATCATCAGGGATGGAATCAGATGTTTCATTTTTATTCTCATCACTAATTATTTCTTCTTGAGTTGTTTCTATTTCTAAGCATTTTTTCTTATAAAGAATATCACATACAGCAAGATGAATTCCATGGCAGTAGCAAAGTTATTGTGTAACTCCCATTTCTCGTCCTATTTTTTTCATTACTGATACACCGTCAGTAACACATCCAAAAATATCATTGATCAAATTCAAGCCAAATTTATTTAATTTTTCAATAACAATATTAACAGCTCTTTCTGAAAGCAACGAACCTTTTATTCTAATCATTCCAAGACCATAGCGACATTTGTCTGAACAATGTACATTAAAACATAAATACCTTTTAGTTTTACCAGAAGTCCACTCATCAAGAGAAATTGAAAACCTTTCTCCTTTTAATTTTAATTAAATAAATGCTGAAGTTCTTGAACAACTTTTAACTTCATTGAGTTTGCGTAGTTCATAACAGTTGTCTTTATAGCATGTCGATCATCAGGGATTTTAAATCCTTTCCAGCCATTTTTAATATCTTTGCTATTGGCCAAAGTTGCAAAAGGGATACAATCAACAGCAGTTAAACAAGCTAATACATCTTCAGCTTTGCTACCTATATTATTACAACAAGCAGCAATACTTGGCTGTATGTTTTTAGACTTCTCTGAAAGAACTTTTGTCTAAAAAATTTTATGTTTGTACTCTAAATGATACAAGAAACTTGAAGTTGATGAACGGAATTTAAGTTCGACTGAACAATATTTGCCCTTGTAAGTTGATTTGTTTTTATTTTCCAATAAATAATGTTTCTAAACTTCAGAGCGGTTTTTTCCAAACGACATTGTAAATGGTGGTCAAGCAGTCGCACTTTAAAAAAAGCATTGTTTTTGTTTGTTTATAATTATATTTGACCAGATGCCGGATAACTGTCAACACAAGTCTTGTTCGTTAAAAAAACGCTTGTAAATGTTCGTAAAAAACTTTGGAAAAAAATAATGTAAAGTTGTTATATTAAAAAAAAATAATAATCGATTAATCGTTTGTTAATTAATCGATTAATGATTAATGATTTTTAATCGATTAATCAATTAATCGTTAATCGTTTACCACCCCTACTTTACATCATAGAAAATCGTAAGAAAAAAGTTTAGTTTTGAATTAAAATTTAAACCATTTATCAAAGTATTATTAACTTTTGTATCGACATCCATTTTTTAACAAGGAGCTTGCCTATAGGCCTATGCAGTATAAAAATAGAAAAAATATTCGGTTGATTATATATATATATATATATATATATATATATATATATATATATATATATATATATATATATATATATATATATATATATATATATATATATATAATCAATAACAGTAGCAAAAAGTTTAAAAAACACCTTAGGATCCCCCCGGACCTTTTATTATTTTCCGTTTTAATACTAATGCTATGTAATATAGCATTTATATTAAAACGGTTAATGGAAGGTTTAAGGGAACTCTTTTTAAGCTATTTGTTGTCGATGCTACTGTTATTGATTATATTGTATACAAAAAGCGTATATTAAAATTAGTATATTAAAATTATTATAGTATATTAAAGGTATTTATATGAGTATATTAAAATTGATTTAAATAAAACCTTTTCTCTAAACTCGTTTTTAAGAGCACTTTTTTAAGTGACAATTTTTTCATTGTATATATTTATAAAAATTTTTTATTTATTTAAACTTATTGCAGCTGTATTCCTGACAAAGATGTCATTTTTTACTTGTTATGGTAACTTCTTACCTGTTCAGTTTAACAACTAAATCCTTTTTTTTCATAATTTTTTAAACCTATTATTCAAAACTTTGATTTAACCTTCAACAGTGAATAGACAAGTTAACGTTTTTTGTTAATATTGATTGCGAATAGACAGCTAAACTGTTTGTTTATATCGGTGTCCAAAAAGTTCGTTTGACAACTTTTTATGTGAGTAATGCATTTACACCACAATAACGGTAGAAACTATTTCAACGTTATGTGATTAATTTTAAAAGTAAAGTTATGAACAATATCGGCATATGATTACTTGAATAATTTTTAAAAATTTATTAATAAATTTAATAATAATCTTATTATAGTTTAAGTGATATTGGTTTTATATTTTATGATTTGTTATTCTGTTTAACAAGATTTAGAAGAAATCAAAACTATTTAATTTAAAACTATTTAATTATTTGTAAGAATAAAACGTCTGCTACAAGAGACGTTTACAGAAATGCTAATAATAAAAAGCGTTAATTTTTGTTTTGTTAAGAGTACTATATAAAGATCTTGATTTATTTTAAAATAAATAAAGTAAATGTTACTGAGAAATAAATCAAATTACGTTTTTATTTCTTTTATCCCAAACAACAAAAAACATTGGAAGTGAAGTTTCAGAGATATATAAAGTATCTTAGAGATATAAGAATATTTCTGATAAAAACTTTGTATAGTTTTTTTAAGTTATGTCTTGAACCCTTAACAACCTAAGGTTCAACCTACAGGTTTTGTTTACGGAACAAATCTTTGAGATGCATCAACTTTTTTTTTTTTTTTGAAACATTTTTTTATTTTGTATAAAGATATAGAAAGACGACATTATTTTAAATATATAATATACTTTTCCAAATAACATACATAGCACACCTAATTGCATATTAAAAAAAAAAATTTTATATTTAAATATAATATATTCAAAATAAATAAGTCATAAACACGTGATTCAAATCTTCGGAAAATCTTTTATTAATATAAAATAATTTTATTATACATTTATATTTTTATTAAAAATATAAATGTATAATTTTTTATAACTCATGAAGTTTTCATTAATTTTGAGGTTTTTACATATAGTGTGTATGTATAAAAACATAAATGTAGGGTAGAATAGGGTAATATGAGCACCTCAAGCAAAAATTGGAATATTTTTAAATATAATTATGCTGGATCCAAAATATATTTATATATTTATATCCTCTATATATTTTTTTTAAACTCATGAATGGTTGATCTTGAGATTTTTATGAAGATTTGACTCGCGTGTTAATGACTTATAATTTTTGATTAAATTATATATATACTTTTTATAAAACATATTTTTTATTGTACAATTAGGTGTAATAACCATGGTTATTAAAAAGCAAAACTAAGTGTAGTTGTTAAGAGTTAATTAATTTATTACGGCTTCTTGTTATATTTTATAAATAACATACATTCAACATTCTATATATTTGGCTTTTTACGTTTAAAGTACTTTATTGTGTATTATCCATATGTAAATTTTTACTTTATGTCTATAAACATTCACGGCCCATTATTATCCACCTTATGTAGGAAATTACATAAAAATACTCAGGACTGACACATCATACCAATCTATCCGTTTACACCGCACACGTGTTTATCTTTCAAACTAGCTACTGCTATAGTAGCTGTTGCCTTTATCAAGTTTTAAGTTAGAAGAAGCTATTGTCTTACGGTCCAGGTTATTATGAACATCCGTTTTGAAGACATTTTCTTCATTCATGTTGTTTAGATCTGTATGTTGTAACCAGTTTGTCGTTTATTACCGTTATTTTTTTACTGCTAATTTTGTATATCGCATACTAACACTATCCACTAGTCTATTATTTACCCACTAGCAAAACATTAAGGACCAGTTCCCCGCATAAAAATGAAATATATTTTCCCAGTTAACAGACATAAGTATCTCAAAAAGAGTAACTATAATAAGAGTATCCATGGTCTAGTTAAGTTACATGGTCTAGTTAAGTTAATTTAAGAAGGCCATGGAGTTTCAAATAGATCTGAATCTAAAGCACATGTTCTGGCCATTGGTTATTGCTTGGTTATTGTTTGGCTAAACAATATACACCAAATGAAACTTATTTAGACGATCCTCGTATCACGGTAGAAAAAGCTAATCGGAATGGAACCCACCTCTCCACAACAATACAGTTCTGTTTATACACACACACACACACACACACACACACACACACACACACACACACACACACACACACACACACATATATATATATATATATGTATATATATATATATATATATATATATATATATATATATATATATATATATATATATATATATATATATATATATATATATATATATATATATATATATATATATACACATATAATTTTATATAATTTTTTTTTGTATAATTATATATATAATTTCTAATTATATATATATATATATATATACATATATATATGTAATTAGAAATTATTATTAAAAAATCGACACTTATTAAACAACACTTATCTACTAATTTATTATTGACAAAGACAAAGCTGTTGCTATCATTACCAGTTGTCGCTAGCTAGTTGCTAGCTTACGTAGTTACCGAGTTATGTACATTGCAAAACTGATGTCGCAAATAAGATGTCTAGCAAAATTGATACGTTTAAAATTATAAAAAGATTTCGAAAGACAAAGACCAATTATCAAAGCGTTACAAATGCAGACCTTGTACACTCTGCTCTATAAACATGTACCGATACAGCACTTAACAACATGAAATTATGTTTTACTGTCTTATTTAGGAAATGAAAGAAAGTTTACCGGCTTCCTGGTTGAATACTGAATCATTTTTTCTCTTTCAATTGTCAATCAATATATATATATATATATATATATATATATATATATATATATATATATATATATATATATATATATATATATATATATATACACATATAATTTTATATAATTTTTTTTTGTATAATTATATATATAATTTCTAATTATATATATATATATATATATACATATATATATGTAATTAGAAATTATTATTAAAAAATCGACACTTATTAAACAACACTTATCTACTAATTTATTATTGACAAAGACAAAGCTGTTGCTATCATTACCAGTTGTCGCTAGCTAGTTGCTAGCTTACGTAGTTACCGAGTTATGTACATTGCAAAACTGATGTCGCAAATAAGATGTCTAGCAAAATTGATACGTTTAAAATTATAAAAAGATTTCGAAAGACAAAGACCAATTATCAAAGCGTTACAAATGCAGACCTTGTACACTCTGCTCTATAAACATGTACCGATACAGCACTTAACAACATGAAATTATGTTTTACTGTCTTATTTAGGAAATGAAAGAAAGTTTACCGGCTTCCTGGTTGAATACTGAATCATTTTTTCTCTTTCAATTGTCAATCAATATATATATATATATATATATATATATATATATATATATATATATATATATATATATATATATATATATATATATATATATATATATATATATATATATATATATATATATATATATATATATATATATATATATATATATATATATATATATATATATATATATAATTCTTATATTTTGCCGTACATATAACATTTACAAGTTTCGTCAACTAAAGGTGTAATATTTACAAGTTTCGTGAGTCAAAATATATAATGAAATTTATAATTAAATAGTACAGGCCGGACTTCAAGAAGATTGTAATGATCTTATCACGAAGCCCTTACAATGTGATTGGTATATATTATGATTATGTTAAATATAATTATATATTAAGTACAACTCTTTTTTTATAGTCTTTAAATTAAAATAAAGTTATAATAAAAAATAAACTCAAAATAAGCTCAAGATAAAAAATTAAACATAACAAGCAGCATAATATCAAAAATTGATAAGAAAAAAATCAAGTATTTTTTTTGTGTGTGTAATAAACAATTTTTTAATATATTGTTTGAGAAAGGTAAGAGTCATTTAGATAATTTTCTGAAATTATCTAAATTATCTGAAATAGTTAGTGGTTACATTTAAAGGTTGTTTACAAATAGTAATATGACTAACATTAAGTAAACACCTAATGACAATGGTTGAAATAATAATGATAATAACAACAATAGTTTTAATAATAATAAGAATAATAATAATACTAAATATCTTTCCGTAATTTAAACTGAAAAAATTTGTAATTTATTGTTTAAAGGTTTGAGTTAATAAAATTAAAAAAATATATATATTTTTTTTTGAATATGCGTAAAACATCGTAGTATTGTTTCAATAATTAGTGGTTTAAACTTCAATCTTTTAATTATAAGTTTTGTTAGTAACGAATCATTATATTCCACTAATTAGTTCTAATTGTCAGGTTGGTACTTTTTTATTTTTTTAATGTTATTTTTTTAAGCTAATTAAAGGGCTCATATTACCAAGTGGTCTGGTTAATATGAGCATTTTTGCTACTTTTTTAAAACCTCTGTATTTTTAAGAAAAAACTTTGGGTGCCCAAATATCTAAATGGATGATGAGTAGTGATCCCTAAAAATTGTTTATTTGGAAATTTTGGATCCAGCATTATTATTTTTGAAAATATTCCAATTTTTGCTTATAGTGTTCATATTACCTTAATCTACCCTATACATGTACAACTTCTATATTTACATGTGCATAACACACGTAGATATACAAGTTTAAAAATGTTCCACCAACAATTAACAAACTAAAAGGAAAAATAAAACACGACAATACAAACAGTGTTGTGGCTAATGGGTCTGAGACCACCCTTCCCATTTCCCCCCTAAAAAAACTGTCATAAGGGTCTTAAATTATTTTATATAATAAAATTTTCAATTAGGTATTTCAAGAAAAAAAAAAAGCTCTTTTAATTTGCAAAACGGCCACTAAACTTGCAAATAGGCCCCCTAATGTATGGGGTAGCCTAGCCACGACTCTGAATACAAAAAATGATCTGAAAAATATGACAAATTAAGCAACACATGTCAATGCCAAATGAACAAGACACACAAAAAAAAAGAAATATAAAAACACATAAAAAAAAAAACATAAAATGCAAACAACGTACAAAAATACAGGGCCATTTAAACAGTACACAAAAATCGATGTCAATATAAAT